AAAGCATTATGACATCGCGACAAAGCATCGAAAAGATGAAGCTTTAGCACTAAATGCCATTGGGGAGAGTGGGGCTTTGGATTTTTTTTCAAACTTTTGCTGGATTCCCAGTAGTTTCAGGGACTCCTTTACTGAACTATCTGGTTTGAAGTTTTTATGAATTTCATATACCAAAGCCGATAATTTTATTCTTGTTATGAAATATTGTTGATCATTTCATTTATTTTTATTTGAGAATTGGAAGATCTATGTTGTATATCTGTTTATCGCCCCCTCATCCCTACTTATGCTAATGCCTTCGTCAGTTAATCCTTCCATCATGAGCATTTCATGGTTTAAATCGAACACAACATTAACAATAGAGAAAAAATGTGCCATTCTCCCCTAAATATCAAGTGTTGTTCGATTGAATTGCAAAACACAAACTTGTGTATGTACACCGAGAAGAAGAGAGTCGCTTCTCGTGTGTGTTTTTTTTTTGTGTCTGAATATTTTGATAAACAATGAAGCAGAAAGAAATAAAGTGCAAGCGAGATAGAGAGAACGAGAAAAAAGGAAAACAAAATGCTGACGTTAAAGCTGGTTGTACTGTCTATTTTGAGATAATAAAAATATCGTTCGTTTCGAATATTCCCTCCATTATCGCAGCATATTCCGTAGATGCAACAGCATCAACATCACACAGCAGCACACGCTCGTCATGTTTGTCGCACATATGTGCGAATGTTCGCATTTATGTGTCATAAATGTGAGAAGATGATGGTAGATTTGGGATTAGTTGACATAAACATATGAAAAAGCTTATTTTTTATTTGTCACAATCACCGCATTGAAAAATAGGTTTAATGTGGAAAAATACGATGAATACTAAAATGCTCGAGTGTTTGATGCCACTTATCCAATCCCATTCAAACAGATCTCGTTAATTTTCATCGCTTAAACATTGCATTTTACGGGAAAAAATTCTTTGCAGCAACGACAACAACAAAATGTTATGACTTTTGAATATAATCTTTCGTTTATCGTTTTTTTTCCTCCTTTTTTAAATCATTTTGACACTTTAGTTCATTTTAATCAATCTTCCAAATTCATTGAAAATATAACGTTAAAAAAACGATGATATCGAAAATCAAAACCATTTTCTGACATTTTATTCGTTCCGATCGCTATTTTTGTTGCCAATTGCGTGCGGGCCATGCACTTCAACAATCCGCCTTGGTTGACACACAAAACAAAAATCTATTTATCAAAAACTACAGTTTCATGGCGATAGGTCAATAAGTTTCGACATTTTTTTTGTCCAAAAATACGCGGACCAAAAAAGAGAAGGAAAAAACGCTTATGTTATTGTGAACAATAGTTTGGCACTCGCTACAGGAGAGAGAGAGAAGAAGAAGAGAGAAATACAGCGACGAAGAAAATCAAGCAGAAAAACAATGCCAGTAGACAAAGTTTGTGAAGAACAAAATATAAGAGATTTGTAGACACCATGAACACACAAATTACATCACAGGCATTGATACAATCCCCCATCTCTCGATCTCAACATAATTTGTTTGCTGCCCTTTTCTACACTCTTTCCATCTTCATTCTACGCTTGATTTTTACGAGCATTTTGTTGTCTTTTGCCTTGTGCTTTGTGCTTGTCAGGATATAATCTTTTCATGTCATCAGCCAGACTAATGTCGCAAAATCTAAGTTATGACCGAAGATAAAAAAAATACTTACACAGACATACGTCGATTTATCGATTTTTTTTTTGTGCTTTTTGACGTATTTGATCATTGCAATTTTAAAATCAACTGACAGAAGCGACCTCTCAAAATAAATTGTTATTTGTATATATACTATTGTTTCCATTAGAGAACGCTCTCTATGTGTATAAATATTAATAGTTCAACTATGCATCATAACAACAAGTGCTGCAGCAGCCAAAGAAAGAGACGTAAATTATAAAAACGATATGAATCATGATTTGATCTATATAATAATAAATTGGGGCAAGGCAACAACGAGCAAACATGATTTCAATCAATTTTCCCCCATTAAATTCGCAATCAAAATGGTGAAATTGATTCTTTTCTCATTCTCAATGCTGTCATTGTCAACAGACACGAAAAACAAACTCCCTATTCATTCCCATACTCTTCTTGCATGCGCATCTCTATTTTTTTTTTATTAAGATTGTTTTTTTATCGGTCTCCTAATTTCATGAGCCAAGAGGAAGATAAAGAATTGTTTGATTGTTGTTCATTACAATCTATGGGCAAAGTTGTACACTTTTACTTGGGATTCTGTCTCTTCTCTGTCGATTCGCTTTCACGCAAAATAAAATGCGAAAAATCACTGTGTGATTAGTTTTACTTATCGAATCAAATACGTATACTTTGTCGAAATCTAAACGAGATGTTATACAAACACCAGAGATTTGTGCCAAAAACTTTTTATGTTCCTTCATCCAAATGATGTTATCGGTTGTTCTTTGAACCATTGTCATTTGTGAAATAGAAATACGAACGATTGAGAGATTATGGCGTTTGGAATTTCATTCGCTTAAGCGAAATCGTTGATTGATTTGATTATCGAAAAGCATTCACCGAGAGATTCAGTGAGTTAATTAGCTGCCGAATTGCTAAATCATGGAAATGGATGGTGGCGTGTATGGACTCTATTTAGATAGACAAAAGTTGTAAAAAAGTCTGCGGTTAAGTCGGTGTCCTTAGGAGAAGGAAAACATAGACCATTTGATGAACGTGAATTCGAAAAGAATTTATTGAATATCGTTTCCCATTCACGACGAAAATGGATAAGAAATATCTAAATACCTATTCAATTTGAGTATTTGTTCATGCCCAGAAATACACGTATGTGTAATTAACGGATTCTTTTTGAACAAACGTTAGAAAAAAAAGTATTTACTGCATCATAATAACGAATTGTAACAACAATGTGACAACAAATGTCGTCAATGTTGTCGACCAACTTTTTCACATTATGATTCAACGGCCGTTTTATATTCAATATTCGGCGAACTTTTGTCCATTTCCCCATGGGGAAAATAAATGTGAATTGTGTCTTGAATCTTTGTCGATGGCACACTTTAATGTGTCTCGCTATTGGATGGTCGCGCGTGCCATAAAGAAATTAAAATTAACCATTCACAGCATACTTAAATATGTAACAGAAACGAGTCGTAACTAATTAAATATAAAGACAGACAAACTAAATGGAAAGCATCATTGCTTAAAAGTTCACCATAATTGGAAGGTTATATTTTATTAATCTTTTTTTTTTTTAATTCCACAACGCAACTTTTTGACTTTATCCGTAAAGTATACCTACACTTGATTGTTGCATTTTGGGCCATTTTCATGGGAGTTTCTTTTTTGCATAACTGCATACAAAAAAATATACAACGAAAACTAGATGACATGCCATCTAAAATTCGGAACTAATTGACAATCCGTCTAAAATTGTATTAGTCCATCTAATTTTCATACAAAATATCGTTTTGTGTATTCTCTTTTGTGCGGTTCTTCTTCGTCTATGTCTTGAAGAAAATCCGAATTTTTGATGGCATGTCATCTAGTTTTCATTGTATATTTTTTCTGTATGTGTGTGTATGGAAAATTCGTAATTCACCAAAAACGAACAATACGATTGATATGAAATGTGAAAATTTCCAGAAAATGTTGAAAATTCCCTTTCGCCGATTACCACTCATTTCAATCGATACAGTGCATCGTGTTTTCTTTCAACACTTCAAAAACTTTGAAAAAATCGAAAAATTAGATTGAATAAAACATTTTGAATTTTTATTTGGATTATTTGTTTTTGGTTCATTTCGTTAGCTTTGTCTTACTCATGGCACTCTGTAGAAAGATTTTTTGATTGTAATTTTTTTTTTCATGTTTCAGTCGTGTTGCTGAAAATGGACGGTGAGATCGTACCGAAATGCATTCAGACTTATAATTTGTCTGTTGTTTAGTAACTTGAATAAAATTCTAAACTTGTAAACTAAAATTAACTGGTGCAGTTTTTATTTTATTGAATGTTGAACGGTGCCTCTGAAATAAAAGTTAAGTTATTTTCATTCAAAAGGGGTGACAATTATTTCACACTCCACATAAAATTTGATTCGATTTCTATCATTAGTTTCTCTTTCTCTTCTTTTTTTGGTAGGATGCGCAATACAATGTCTAAAAATAAGATTGCCAAGCATGAGTGCCTAGTTGAGTGCTTTCATTCTATTTCTTGTTCATTTTTTAATCTTTCGCTTTGTGTTGTTATTGTGTTTTACCACAGTTTATTTTTCTCTTTCAGCTTTGTTATTTTATTTCTCCTTTTCTTGTATCTATCTCTCTATCTCTTTTTGTCCCTTGAATGATGTTAAATTCATTTGAAGTTGCCATATAAAAGGATATACATTCTATGTGTGCAAGATTTTTGTCGTTGGCTATCATTAAAGGGATCAATGGATACCTTTTAGAAGACGGAAAAAACCGCGCAAAATTGAAATCCCAATGAAAGAATTCATTTTGGCTGAAATATCCGTCAAATGCCTTTTGTTGTTGCCCTTTATTTTGTTTGATTCATCGTGAACGACAACCGTCGATTTTTTTGTTGTTCCACTAAAAAGCCCTATTTTGATGAAACATCAAATCGATTGACTCTATTTTTCAATAACATCAGTAATATCTTTATTATAAATGTTCGAAACCGTATCAAAAGAAAAGGAAGACAATATTTGGGACATTTTTCGTTTTCAGCATTCATGCAATACCAACAAAAAAAAATTGACGAAAAGTATGGCATATAAAACTGAATTCGTCATAATTTTAATGATGGACAAATGGATGAACAACAACAACAAAATGTATATTTCTGTAAACTGTCTGTCTTCTGTTTCATTTATGTTATTCTTTGAAAATGCATTTGCCACAGAGAATTGATTCTCGTCTCAATTGAGTGGAAAATCTATAAATGAAAGTTTCGCTTACCTGCGGTTGAAAAGCTGGCGACTGACGTGTTTGTGAAGAAGCTCTAGCTTGGTATTCGTGCTCTGGTGGCCACGTTACACGTTTTACTCCTGCAATGAAGAAATTGAATATCGACCGTTGAAATTGGATAAACATATCAACAAACAAAATAATTACAGGTTTTCTGCATTTTTAATAAAATTATTAACACAGTGACTGTGTCAGAGACTTATTACGATAATTTCTATCCCAATATAAATAACGGGTTTAATTGTAATGACAGGCATCTTTTTTTTCTGTTATTTATTACAAGGTTGGTCACGCAAAGATGGAAAAATAGAGTTGACTTTTACGACACATTGCACATGTGTCATTCATTATTGTTCATATGTGTTCATTGAACGGTTTAAAAATACAAAAGATATTCACATTTATACATAGGTGTCGGATAAATTTAGATGAGCAATTTTCAATCCAATACAACACAATTTATTTCCCTTTTTTTATTTTTTCAGTGACATGACATTGAAAGCGCAAATTTTTCGTTTAATAAATTAACAAGTGCCATCAAAAATAAAGAATCAAATCATCGATTTAAAAGTTCATATCGAAATTTATGTTTGTCATCCCGAGGACTATATATCTTCGCTCTTTCCATTGCGATGAAATTAAATGATTTCATGCAAACATAGAAAAATTATTGCGCACTCTTATTAAATGAGTTATGTGGTTTTATTATATGTAAGGCGTTTTGAGCGTTTTGAGCGTTTTGAGCCTTTTGAGCATTTTGAGCGTGATATAATTTATTTAAGTAATAAATCGTAGCATTCAAAAGAATCGGACAATAAGAAGTATGACTTCATTTAAAGTTTCTAAGGATAATAATAATACACCTTTCACGGCATTTGAATGTAGCCAACTGATGAAATAACAATCAAATTTAAAAAATATTATTAAAATTAGCAAGTTCTGTTGTTTTGCTTTATATAGATCGCATAGAATTATTTGATAGAGTATAGCTGGTCAGAAGACACAATTGTAAATTGAAATCTATATACACTGTGAGCGATCCCCACCAACATTAATGAATAAACTCAATATTTTGTGCCAAAGATTTTATTTTTTTGAATTTGATGAAATTTAGAGGCGAAAATCAGGCATAAATAAATTGAAATTGTGTCTTTCCTCTAGATAGAACACTTCAAATATAAAACAAATTTATTCTGAATACCAATTGGTTGGCTATCGGTTGGTGTATGTACATGACCGAATAATTTGCCTTGATGTTTTGATATGACATTCATAAGAATGGCGAAAATGATCCAAACGAGTGAAAAATGTTGTTGGTTGTTTTTTTCGTATCACCGTGATGAAACTACGTTTAGCATGCGTATATGTGTTGATTGCTGTGAAACTGCTGTTTATAATGGAATACAATACAATTTTATCGATATGTTGTAATTTGTGTCGAGTGTTAAGAACGAAAAGCACGAAAGCGATTTTGTTGCGTTCTCACAACATGCACAAATGCACACCGAAGTGCATTTTCACTTCAATGGGCGAGAGAATGAGCTCCATGTGCGCCAACAACAAAAAGAAATTTGATTACGTATAGTGCGGTATTTTAACAATAAACGGCATTTTTCATTTCCCTTGACGCGTCGACATACGGTTTCCTATTTTAATTTTTACTATTATTATTACTATTTTACAATTTAATTCATTTCTCTTGTTATTTTTGCTGTTGTTATTATTGTTATTGTTGATTGGTTCGTTGTTCTTTTGTTTTGTATCATTTCGCTTTGTTTTATTTTGATTTGTTGTACTTTTCATGTGTACATGCTGCTCAAGCACTTCACGCCTTTAGCGCATTTCATATAAAACCGCTCCGCATTTTTCGTTTCATTCCAAATAATAATAATCTGGAATAAAATATATTTCTGCATCCGCAACAATATTTATTTTTCGCCGTGCATATTTTATTGTTTGGGTGCAGGGTGTGGAATGAATAATGGAGACCGAACCGAAAAAGTGACTAATAAAATATAACCAACGCATTTTCCATATATACCGACAATGAATTAAACCGACAAATGAATGATCACACAATAAAAATGGAGTCATCAACAAAATTCCGTAAATTCTCTCATCAGCATTTTTTCTGTCTCTCTCTCCTTTCCCGTCTCACTTTTCGATTGTTTCGTTTTATGTTTCTTTGAGCTGCTTTAGGCGTTCATTATAATTATTTTTGCGCGATTTTATTTTTTGCATGCATTTATTGTTTAACTAGTCGTTAAAAACTTTCGAAACATCTACCACTCGATTTTCTTCCTACTTTCAAGTTCAATATGTAATATAATAATGAAATTATTAAAATTTCACCTGTGAATGGCTAGAAATTATGGAATGGCGAATAATCAAACGCATCGATTTGCAAATCGAATATTGAATTGCATGGTTTTTTACTGCAAGCAATTAGTTTTTTTTTATGTTCGTATGTGAAATTTCTGTAATTGTATTAATTTACAGTTTTAACTGTTGTTTACGATGAAAAAATGATTAAGTACAAGAGTTTGCAATATGATCGGCGTGTGCACTGAACTCTATTGAGTAAAGGTTAATGCGTATTTTTTTCATCATTTTAAATTGAAACAATGAAATTCCAACACAGCGTCTCACTTTTATTTCATATACAAACACATGCCAACAATTTGTGCGGGTGTTCTGTTTATTATAATACGATTGCATCACAAACTTTCATCATGAATTCCAAGTATATATTGTTATGTTACTTCCTCTCCGCCTCTCCCCCCATAACACTTCTCTTAAGCGATGACTCAACCAGTATGATTTCCACAAAGGAAAAGAAAACAAAAAATTATTGCGTAATTTATTTTCTAATTTGCAATACACCGTATTCTCGATATTTTTTTTATTGGAATCGTCCAAAAACGTAATCTGTGTATTTGTCGCCGTTCGACACGCAACCATAATTGAAGCTATAACAGTATTGAAATGGGTCATCGGGATTCGGTGAAAAATTTCGTTTGTTTAAGAAAAAAAAGATGTACCATTTTAATTTTCCGGTCGATTGAGACCAAAAATGATATACTAAAAATATGATAATCAATGAAGAGAATTTATATGTATCGTACAAAGGACGGTTTTCTTTGTTCGCACCGTTATGGTGCGACTCATTATCGATTATTTGATATTTTTTTCTCCCATTATATTTTATGGTTTTTCATTCTTTTTTTTTTGTTTAATTTTTATGATTCATCCGAAATTATATTGTGCAAAGCGGTGCAATGTTGACTCAATTTCATTTGTGGTTTGTTTGATTTGGGTTGATGGAAGAAAAGTGAACATGGAATAGAGACGAGGTATATTAAGTGTGGACACTTGCCACATTCTTTCGATCCAAAGGCAAAAAAGTACGAAAAAATATTTAATTTAAATTCCAAGGGAAAAAAGCATAACGTCAAAATATTTCCAATTTTGTGTGAAACACGATGTGAGCTTTACTCACGAAAAAATACGGCACATTATTTTTCTAAGATAAAATACTTGTAAAAAAAAGGACAGTACAGCAAATATTTTGTTTTTTTCTTGTGTTCCGATTTCGTTGTGCACTTTCAACTTTGTTCGTTAAATTACATAAAATAATCGAAAACTACAAAAGACTTCAATATATACCAAACTGATGTGGTAATATTAGTGGATGTACAAACATAACAAAAATGTGTGCAGATCCTTTTTCATTTTGTGGTTCGCAGTAAAAAAAAACATTTCAAGTGGATCTTTCCCTTTCTATCTCTGAAAAGAAATGCGTTACACTTTTTTTCTTGTATGCACGCACTCTCCATCCCCCCGGAATTTCTCATTGAAAATCTCACTGTGCAAAAATTTAATGGCTTTGTCAAAACACAAATGTACACTTTACCTTGCGCGTAATTATAATTTTCAGTTTTCATCAAATAAAACTTTATTCAATTAAAATGATACGGACGTCGACAAATTTCAAAATATACTGAGTTCTAGTATGTCTTGTTGACGAACCTCGATTCGCTTTTGCATTTATGTTTCTGTTTTTGCTCTCGTTCCTGTGTGTGACACACACACACACTGTTTAGATGTATGTATGCAGCATCTCTCTCAGTCGCTCTCTCTCTCTTTCGCTTTTTCATTTCGTCATCATTATAAAAGGAACATAGAAAAATATTTTTTCTTCAGTTGTCTGAACTCTTTATTAATATGTTTGCTTTTTTATTCAATTCATCGTTTTTCGAAGCAAAAAAAAAATGTCCCAACGATGTATCTTTCTCTAGTCAAACTCAGAATGCTATTTGCACAAATTAGGGGAACCGCCAAATCAAATAAATTTTATGACAATAAATAAGCATCGTTGCCGAATCATACGCAGAAGTAATTATTTGAATAATGTTCATGTCATTTGAAAGACCGTACACCATTTATTTCTAGAATCGAATCTATCAAATGCATTTGTTATATTTGTCAATAATGGTGAATTGAATGCAAACAAGTTTGACAGTGGATGATGAAAGCAATGTAGCCATCAAACACACTGACGGTGGAATTGTAAATTAACACTTCCGATAAAATCAATTGCATCGGATAAATCAAATTTCGAGTATTTTCCGCTATGAATTATTAAAGCGGAAATACGTGGTTTTATCACCAAATTATTCATCATCGATTTGCAAAATTGTTAATAATTTTCTTCGCAATCTAATCATTATATGTCTATGATGTGTATTGGTTGTATCTTTTGCCAAATCAGAAGAGAAAAAATAATAATAATAATCGAGGTGAACACGAAAAGTGAATAAACATTCATTTCTGATATAAAAATAGATATGATCCGTGGGCTGATTATTTTTCATAGTGAGTTGTTTCAGAATCTGAATCTGAAATTCAGATCCAAAGTGAAAAATTCGGTTTCGTTTACGCATTCCAATAATCTATTTTCCGAATGGCATAAACATTTTTTTTATCGCCGCTTATGAATTTTCTTTTCTAGTCGAGTTGAGTGCCACTGTTTTGTATATTTTATGTGAGATTAAGTGCAAATTTGGTAAACACATTCGAT